ATATGGTAAGCCTGAGTAATCGTTGTATTTATATCTAATTTCATGAAGTCCAGCGGCGCAGTCTATGAAGCTAGTTTATGCACGTTTGTATAATTAAGATTTGACTGAGACACTGATCTGACCTAGTATGAGGTTTGATATAAGCTTAAGCTTACAGAACTTTAAAAGCCTTTAGTCGATATTAATTCACCGTAAATAGAAAGAAAAGACTTTCCCAAGAATATTTAGTTATAATTTTGGCTGTAGAAAGAAAGCTTTGAGCGATTTTCTTGTCCTGAGTTCATCTTTGAAAACAGCAAACAGGCCCGGGAGACCGGCGGCTTAAAACATAAACTTAATCTTTAAGCTTACTAGTAAAGACTTAAGGATTCTTAGAGACACTTAAATACTCATTTGTTTTCGTGAATGAAAATTGTTGTCTCTGTAAATGTTCTACCGAATTATATTTCTTTCTTGATTGTTGGCAGTCTCAATGTAATTTTTATCGCTTTGCCGTTAGTTTTCAGCCGTTCAGAAACATCGCTTGCAGGAGTACTCAAAATGCCGAGCGTATCAAACGCTTTTTAAGGTTTTACATCGTTATAAAACCATGAATAAAAAATAGACTCAATAAATTCTTCATCACGTTGAAGCGTAACTCTTTTAAAATTTCTTCGCAAATTTGGCGCTTGTCAAAAGTTAGAACCGGCTGGCCGTATATATGATTTTGGAAATTTTTTTAACGGTTTCGCTAATTAAAAGTCCACGCGTGCTTCGATGGTCCTGAATATTGAATGAATGCAATTTGTCTTGAAAAATTGTGAAATACTGCATTTTGTACGAGGTCTGTATGATAACAACAGCGCCTCATAGTACTCTTTCTCCTCAGATGTGGTGTATTAAAAAAAAATAAAAGATTGGTTTGCACGCACCCAGATTTATTGGCATGAATTTGTAAACTTGTCGATCGCAAAAAATTCGGCCTGATTTGTTTTCCACGCCTTATCTACTGTGATCAAGAGCCATTATTGCTCTTAAATTTGACCGCACACCTTTTTGGGTGTACATACAAGGCTATATCAACTTGATATAAGATTTGTTTCACTCCAAAATCACTTAACTTTTCAATGGGAGCTTCGCTTTTAGCCGTGGCTAAATCTATATATTACTTCTAATCGATGACCATTTGATAGCAAAGACTCGTGTGGTTATCGATTGGTATCGATTTTCAATAACAATCGATAAATAAATTGTTATAGATTTGTATCGATTGGTTACAGATTGACGGAATCGGTGCATAAATAACACATCTTTGTATGCAATAATTGTAAACACATTTCATTTTAATGCTTTGAACGTTAATAGGAGAACATTACTCTCTTTCCACGTTTTTCATTGTTCTAATTCTCATATCTGCAATGCTGGTAACAAGTCTTCACTTTACAAATATGAAATATTTTCAAATTCAACAGCCGGGGTTTTTCTGATCCTCCATTGTTCAATCCTTCACTCACTCATCTCACCCATCCCGGCTGGGACATTAGGGGGTTTGAGAGCCACGATGTCGACGGCCACGAAAACTTTGCATAATATATGTATAACGATTATTTCCAGAAAATCGCCGGCACGACGATGACATACAAAACAGCCAGAGACTACCATCAAAAAGAACTGGAAATTGCCAAAGAATTGGATGACACGTCGGAGGAAGGAAAGGTCTATTGCAATCTCGGAAATGCCCATTACAGTCTAAGAGATTTTAAAACAGCCAGAAACTACCACCACCTAAAAATTGCGATACAATTGGGGGACAGATCAAGGGAAGGAAAGGCGTATTGCAATCTTGGCGATGCCTATTACTGTCTGGGACACTTAAAAACAGCCGTAGACTACCATGAACGTCACCTAAAAATTGTGATAGAATTGGGTGACAGATCAGGGGAAGGAACTGCGTATGGCAATCTTGGCAATACCCATCACAGTCTGGGAGATTTTAAAACAGCCACAGGCTACTATGAACGTCACCTGAGAATTGCGAAAGAATTGGGTGACAGATCAGGGGAAGGAACTACGTATAGCAATCTTGGCAATACCCATCACAGTCTGGGAGATTTTAAAACAGCCACAGACTACTATAAACGTCACCTGAGAATTGCGAAAGAATTGGGTGACAGATCAGGGGAAGGAACTACGTATAGCAATCTTGGCAATACCCATCACGGTCTGGGAGATTTTAAAACAGCCATACACTACCATGAACGTCACCTGAAAATTGCGATAGAATTGGGTGACAGATCAGGAAAAGGAAGTGCGTATAGGAACCTTGGCAATGCATGTTACCGTCTGGGAGATTTTAAAACAGCCATAGACTACCATGAACGCCACCTGAAAATTGCGAAAGAATTGGGTGACAGATCAGGGGAGGGAAAGGCGTATGGCAATCTTGGAATTGCCTTTAACTGTTTGGGAGATTTTAAAAAAGCCATAGACTACCATGAACGTCACTTGAGATTAACGGAAGAAATGGGTGAAAGATCAGGGGAAGGGAATGCATATGGCAATCTTGGCAATGCTCACCTCAGTCTTGGAGATTTTAAAACTGCCAGAGTCTACTATGAACGCCACCTAAACATTGCGAAAGAATTGGGTGACAGATTAGGGGAAGGAAATGCGTATGGCAACCTTGGCAGCGCTTATCACAGTCTGGGGGATTTTAAAACAGCCATAGACTACCATGAACGTCAGCTAAAAATTGCAAAAGAATTGGGTGACAGGTTAGGGGAAGGAAATGCGTATGGCAATCTGGGCAGCGCCCATCACAGTCTGAGGGATTTTAAAACAGCCATAGACTACCATGAACGTCACCTGAAAATTGCGAAAGAATTGGGTGACAGATCAGCGGAAGGAAAGGGGTATTCCCATTTTGGCAACATCTATTGCAGTGTAGGAGATTTTAAAACAGCCATCGACTACCATGAGCGTAACCTTAAAATTGCGAAAGAGTTGGGTGACAAATCAGGGGAAGGAAAGGTGTATGGCAACCTTGGCATCGCTCATTGGAGTCTGGGAGATTTTAAAACAGCCATAGACTACTATGAATGTCACCTAAAAATTGCGATAGAATTAGGTGACAGATCCGCGGAAGGAAAGGGGTATTGCGATCTTGGCAACGCCCATTGCAGTGCAGAAAATTTTAAAACAGGCATGGACCACTATGAACGTCACCTGAAAATTGCGAAAGAATTGGGTGACAAATCAGACGAAGGAAAGGCGTATGGCAATCTTGGCATCGCCCATTCCAAGTTGGGAGATTTCAAAACAGCCATAGACTGCCATGAACGTGCACTTAAAATCGCGACAGAATTGAATGACAGATTGTGTGAGGGATCTGTGTGTTCAAACCTTGGTTCCGTTTATGTATATCTAGACCAAGTACCGGTGGCTATTAAATATTACAAGCTGAGTATTGCCTCCTTTAATGACATCAGAGATCGACTTCACTTGAACGACGAGTGGAAAATCAGCTTACGTGATCAATACCAGAGAGCATATGCCGCATTGTGGCGCTTGATGTTAGCAAATGGCAATGTTACGGAGGCTTTGTTATCTGCCGAGCAAGGAAGGGCACAGGGTCTTATGGCATTAAACTATTCATTTGATGCCAATGATGCGGAATCAGTACAAGAAAAAGGAACCTTTAATGAACTGTCCAGTTTCTGTCCTCCAAACACGATTTTTATGGCGTTTGGAAATAAGGAATTAATTCTCTGGGTGTATCAGAAAGGAAAGGAGGTTGAATTAAGAAGGAAACAAATCTTTTCACAAAATGACATCAACATTTACTTTCAGTCCCTTGTGGAGAACATTGGTGCACGTGATAATGTGGAGTGTGAAGATCATTCTCTTGAATTGGCAAGGGGTAAAGGACTAGCAGTTCAAAGATCACCGAACGATGACAGACAAACGCAGCTATTACACCTTCAAGAAGAAGCTTTGAGCACGTTGTACGAAACTATCATTGAGCCAATTCAGGATCTATTTTCAGGCAGTGAACTCGTGTTCATTCCAGAAGGTCCACTTTGCTTGGTTCCTTTTGCTGCATTCAAGAGCCCAGATTCCAAGTACCTTTGCGAGTCATTCAGCATCCGTGTGGCTCCATCCCTCACAAGTTTGAAAATGATTGCTCAATGTCCGGTAGATTATCATCACAAGTCGGGCGTACTTCTTGTTGGTGATCCGTAGGTGCAAGATGTGACAAATCTAGAGCCGCTACCCTGCGCCAGAGAGGAAGTGAATATGATTGATGAAATGGTTGGCTCCACGCCTCTTGTTGGAAGACAGACCACGAAGGATGAGGTGTTAAGACGACTCGGTTCTGTTGCTTTGGTGCACATCGCTGCTCATGGGAATATTGAAACCGGTGAAATTGCCTTGGCGCCAAATAGTACATGTAGTGAGGTGGACTTCATTTTGACAATGAAAGATGTAAAGCAGGTTCAGCTGCGAGCAAGCTTGGTTGTACTCAGTTGCTGCCATAGTGCTCGTGGCGAAGTCAAAGCAGAGGGTGTTGTCGGCATAGCACGGGCATTCTTAGGTGCCGGTGCTCGTTCTGTTCTGGTGTCTTTGTGGGCGATTGACGATAAGGCCACTCTTGAGTTTATGAAGAATTTCTATCAGCATCTTGTGGCAGGAAAAAGTGCAAGTGAAGCCCTTAACCGGGCAATGAACTGCATGAGAGAATCCACAGAATTTAGCGATGTAACTCACTGGGCGCCGTTTGTACTCATTGGTGATGACGTGACACTGGAATTTGATGGGAGCAAATAGACCACTCACAATGTCGAGGTACGTTTTTTGTTGTTGTTGTTGTTGTTTTTGCTGTTCGTAAGGTGCCAAGTTTATTTTATTTTATTTTATTTTTTTATTGACTGTTCTTTATCTTTCACTTTTAATCTTAAAAAACGATAAGAGTTCATACGCAAACGTTACCGGCCACACTACAGAACACGGACGAAAACAAGAGTTACTAAATCAACACAAACATAAACGTAAAGAGGGAGGTATTATTATTATTATTATTATTATTATTATTATTATTGTTTTGTTGTTGTTGTCGTTCATTCATATTTCACACCACTAGTTGTATCGGTGGTTACGTATCCCTAGATCATCAAACTATTTCCTTTCGCCTTAGGTGTCTAGGGTCCTTCTAAAGATCTTTCCTGTTCCCAACAAGCAGGCTTTCTGCAGTAAGTTCAAGATCCCAGGTGTTCCTATCTTAGTAACCCACATCATTAAGTTTTTGGTTACTGCTCCAAATGCCCCAAATTGGAACAACAAATACGCTTTTGCAGTTCCACATCTTTTGTATATATTTCCAATTCTAACTCCTCTTATTTATACTATTATTATTACGTGTAATAAAGTGGCTAAAGCCGTTAAACAGTGCTCAATACACTTTTTAAGTGTAGAGCTTTGAATAAGAAGATATAACGAAGAGACAAAATTCTCTGTAGAATTTTGTCAGAGAATTCTCAGAGAATTTTGTCTCTTCGTTATATCTTCTTACTATTATTATTATTATTATTATTATTATTATTATTATTATTATTATTGCCTCTCACTTCTACTTTTAACTCTTGTTAGCCAATCCCGGCTGACTTTGTTAGTCGACCCTAATACAGGAAGGTTACTATCAGTTATTCATTATTTTTATTACACTGTTACTATTTTCGTTTACAGGTGCGTGCAAGGAATTTGTATTACTTTGTGAGGCAGCTAAGGAGAACAAAGTGTTAATTAGTGAGATTTTATTTAACTTCTTTTAGAAATATGTGTAGCAAAGTCGTTCGATTCAGAAAACGAATTATATTTCCATGTATTAAGACTTAGCGTACTGTTTACATACATTAGTCTAAAATAAAATTAAAACTCTCACTTTTCTTGCTCACGGAAAATTGAAGAATCAGACAGATGTAATTTTTGAAGTAGCCTGAGACTTTCAACTGCGTCTATAAAATGGAGGGAAATTTAGCAGGTGTTATTCCTCAACACTTGGGTTTCTTCCTTTCTACATTTAACCACGCAGCAACAAGAAATTATTATTCATCCTCTTAAAAAGCCAAAAATTTGAATTCAGTAATCTTATCGAGCTACCTGTTTTTTATTCTGCTCAACATGGGAATAAGGCCTACGATTGTAAATACATATCTGAGAATAAATGGCTGCGTTGGTTTATCCTGCCTCCCACCCCTCCCCCAACTAAAAAATGCACCAATATTGATACTGAGGGTACAGGTGTTCAAAAAGATGTAGGTGGGATGGGGGTGGAGTGGGGATGTGTACAGTGGAACCTCGATATAACGAAGTCCTCGGTATAACGAACGTTTTCGTTAGCCCGGTAACAGTAAAATATATGAAAAAAACCTCGAAAAAACGAAACCTGGGTATAGCGAACACATTTTGCCAGTCCCTTAGCTCTTCGCTAACTCGAGGTAGTGTAAATGAGTGTAAGTAGCACAAATTTGTCTCAAGACTTAAGATCTTTGAATAGAGAATCCGTGCGACCAAATAGTTGGGACACTCAACGACATTTCTCAGTAAGAAATAAGCGTTGACAGGCCAAACACGACTCATAAGCTCGTAATAATGTGAAACGTGTCCTTGAGAGTCTGCTTGAACAGTGGTTCTCTTTGTTTTTTCTCTCGCGCGAAGGTTACTAGCACTACACAGTGCAAGAGGTGTAGCATTCTAAACTTTGCCTGAGTAAATCTTGTTTTTGCCGCACTAAATCTTATATTTAGAGGTCATGAAGCAGGTTTGTTACATGCATACTGAGTAATCATTTCCTGTGGTTTATGCTTCGGTAGGTGTCCCTGATAGGATTTGATCTCAGATGCAGTTGTAAAGTGTTTTATATCCTTTGACCTCTGTTTATTACGGCTGAATAAAGATTTTACATTTTTTGGTTTTCTCCGAAATGGCTGTATCTGAATAACTACATGCATGCAGGCAAGTTTCTTTGTCCGTGAATGTGATTATTTCCTGCCATGTCAGTATGACTCTGGGCCCAGCTCTATAGTGTGGTTTGCAGGATTTTGAATTTCCACGGATAGTGCGATCTTCAGATATGAGTTGTACACTGTAGCTTAAAAACTAAAGCTACACCAAGTTTGGAGAAATATGCCGTGCGTCAGTCAAGATAATTCTCCTAGCGCTCACACAGTCCATTTAGTTTTTCTTAACATAAGTGAGTCTTTGAACTAGAGCGCGATGTCTTGTTGTTCCTTCGTAGGTATTTTTGCGTTCGACGTTAGGAGAACGCTTCGTAATCTTTGGGGATCCTGTGGTCGATGGGATACCTGTGCATGCCAGGCGTGAAGATTCGAGATTTTTGGTTACTTGGACGGGCGATGTTCAAAATCTGCGCCATTTTGAATAATTATTAAGCGCGCGCACGAATTTTAAGCCCAATAGCCGGCCAAAGAAATTGCGGGCTCACCTGGTGGACATGCGCACACAACTATTTTTTACGTCATAAGCAATTGTCATATGGCAATCACGTGCATCACTGGTTCCATCAAGGTCAACTAGATGATTACACGGGAATATTTGAGTTCGGCAAAAGAATGAACTTTGGAGTTGTTTTCTAAGCGGGTTTTATCACTGAGCTGATGATTCTGCTAAACTTTTCGGTCAATGCCGTTCAAATCGAGCTGGAACTTCGTAGAAACACACAAATAAAGACCAGGTAACATTTGTGCCGTGAGAAGTTTACCCGTGCGTTTGAGTCTATTTACATATTTGTAGTTTAACCTCTTTCATGCACGAAAAAGTAAGCTTGAGCGTATCAGTGCAGTTTGTTACAACTGTAATGCTTTATTCACGTCTGATATCTCTACGCGGGTAATTTTGCATGATAAGTATCTCGCTCGCTGAAGCAAGCTAAGTTTAAAACATGTTGAACTGACCTACATGAACGTAAAATAATCATGAGATGAAAAGTTTGCACAATGGCAAAAGATTCTGTCCGGTTCTCTGACATCAGTAATCTAGCAGAAACCTAATATGTTTCCGTCGCTCCTATGATCATTGATTTCACTTCAAGTTGTGTCACGCAAGAAGCCAAGACTTTTAACCTTCAAGGCTACCATTTTTTCGAAGTTTGTAGTGACATGTTTATCTTTTTAACAACAAAGAACTTTTTACGATCTACTTTACATTTTTATCGACCATGCTTGAGGGAGAGTAAGACATTTTAAGAGTAGAGAGTTAATGAGTGAGATATTTTGAAGCCGTATACGCGAAGAACATTTTTTACGAAAAGAATGTTTACCTTTTAATTCATGATCTCTTCCATGATTTTGAAATCAAGCTTGACGACACAAAAGCTAATCTGGAGCTAAGAAAACTCGAACGCACTTATTGATCTATGATTACTACTAGTCTTAAGTTTTTGCTTAACAGTCGTCTGTGCGACTGCTATGGATTCTTAAGCAAGACTGCAGTTTCTGAACTATAGCGTTCCTCGTCAGTTGCTACTATGGTAAAGTCTTAGGTACAAAGAGCGAAGCAGACTGTTTAAATACTGGTGGCTAGGATCGAAAATACTAACTTGCCATTGGCTGCAAAAGTGACCAATAGCGTAGGTGTTTCTTTGATCCGCGTTCTGTTGTGTTTCCTTCAAGGTCAAAAATGCTTTTTAATAAACAGAGGTCAAAGGATATAAAACACTTTACAACTGCATCTGAGATCAAATCCTATCAGGGACAGCTACGGAAGCATAAACCACAGGAAATGATTACTCAGTATGCATGTAACAAACCTGCTTCATGACCTCTAAATATAAGATTTAGTGCGGCAAAAACAAGGTAATAAACAGAGGTCAAAGGATATAAAACACTTTACAACTGCATCTGAGATCAAATCCTATCAGGGACACCTACCGAAGCATAAACCACAGGAAATGATTACTCAGCATGCATGTAACAAACCTGCTTCATGACCTCTAAATATAAGATTTAGTGCGGCAAAAACAAGATTTACTCAGTCAAAGTTTAGAATGCTACACCTCTTGCACTGTGTAGTGCTAGTAACCTTCGCGCGAGAGAAAAAAGAAAGAGAACCACTGTTCAAGCAGACTCTCAAGGACACGTTTCACATTATCACGAGCTTATGAGTCGTGTTTGGCCTGTCAACGCTTATTTCTTACTTTATTATCAAATCATTTTCGAGTATAAATATTTTCTTTCAAAATATTTTCCTATGTAAAGTTCAAATAGTGGAAGAGAGTTTACTGCACAGGAAGTATTCTTGCTTGGTATGCAGGTTTCCACTGAGAGTTATCTCTCCCCCCAGTAAGGAGCTTGTAGAATCCGGGATCCTAGGCTTTGGAATCCGGAGTATACATCTCAAGGAATCCGGAATCCAATACCTGGAGTCCTGAATCCATGGCGTGGAATCCGGAATCCCAGACTGCCTTGGGTTCCCTTACATGTTGCAATACCTCAGGTTTTGTTAAAACTACATTGTGATAGAGCGATCAGTTTAGCGTAAGTCAATAAACCTGATTGGGTCCTTAATGACCAAAATAGATTTTCGAAGCGTTAAGACTCCTGTTTTCTTCTTTTTATTTATTGGGACGATGTAAAGGGGGAGGTGATACCAATCTTCCCCTCCCCTCCCTCAAGGGCGCAGTTGTTCGAAGGCCAATTATCGGTAACCCTGAGTTAAATTTTAACCCAAGTTTCTATTCCTTTTGTTCAAATGCATTTTTCAGGATAATTTTCTCGATTCTCTTTAGAGCATCAAATCATCCAATTGTGGACAAAAAGAATAAAACTGAATTTGCTTTTTAAGCTCTCATACCTGAATTGAAATTTTGCCCTAACCCTGGGTTATCTTAACCCTACTTTGAACAACCCAGCCCAGACCCTATAAAATATTTCAATTTTTATTGAGTCAATTGAGGTCAATTTGCCCACAGATTTTACGATTAGAAGGTTATGATTTCAGAATAATCATACACTGAACATTAAAAAGATCTGTTTCAACTCCAAAGTGCTAATTCAGCCCTGCGGGCCAAAGTCTGATTCAGCCCCTCCTGGAGCCATTTGAGCACAAATTAAGGCCGAAACGGCCCAATCGAGAGGCTATAGCAGCCCACGCTGGGGTTCATTACAGCACTATAGGTCCAAATCAGCCCTACGTAATTGTACTGTATTGGCCCTGATTTAAGGGAGCCAAATAAGACTTACTGAAACGGCCCCATTTTTAGTGCTAAAACGGATCTTTTTGATACACAGAATAGTTTACTAGTTCCTAATTCCAATCTTTAGTATTTAGGTTCAGTTGCCAAAGCACTATTTTAGCTAAAATGGAGTTGTGCCAATTAATGAAATGTGTTAAAGTAAACGTTATTCGCCAGCTTTCGTTAGCTTTCGACACGAAATGTTTTCTATTTTCGCTGGGCTTAAAACTCGCTACAATTTTCCATCGAGAGGAAATCTTCCGTCCGGAAAAATCAATATCAATTATTCAATTTCATTGCTTTGTCTCCTTCCTCGTTCTCAAAGTTAACGATTTTAGTTCCAATTTTTTTATTATCAAGAGAATTGTTAAAGATTAAACGAGGAGAAAGGCTTCGTTTTCCACTAGCATGAGCAAGTACAGGTAGTACTTGTTGATCAAAAATAATTTTGAAAAAAACGTTTTGCGCGAAAATAGAAAGCATTCGATGGGTCAAGAGCAAATCATTATTCTTCAGTGGACACTAGTTTTAGGTATTTAAAATTTTTATTTTAAGGACGCCAAAAAATGTCTTTTCTTATTAAAAGGTTGTTTAAAATAAATGTGTCACTGAAAACAAGCGTATTAATTTTCTTCCAATGAGAGTAGGACCTGTTAGAGTTACTAAGTACAATGAGAGAGCAGTTGCTCAGGTGGACATAAGAAAAATTCCGCGAATTCTCCTCTTTTGCACCAGAAATCAAACGAATTCACGAATTCTAAAGCATGCAAGCCCTCCCCCTCCCCTCCCCTCCCCCTCAGAAGAAAACCCTGCGGGCTCCACACAGTCATGTAACAGACAAAAAACTGTTGCGATGAGGAACCTATCCTGACCTATGTTTCGTTAAATTGCGAGTGTACTTATCTCTTGGAACATTGACCTCTTTTATCCTAGAGACGTTATAGTCATCAAAAAGAGACCTTAGAAGCCTGGACACTAGCCTATACCAGGGAACCCACTTCGGGCAGGGGGCTCGGTTTTCAGGACAACTTACGGACCAGTGTATCTCGGATTTGATTGGCGACCCGAGGACTAGCGCAAAACCTTGCAACATTACTGATGAATGCTGGAGATTTATTGGTACAAATAACACACAAGGGTATATGACGACACATCAAGCTTTGTGTCTTATCGTCGGAGAAGTCAAAGGTGAATTATATTAATATTACTTAAAGAAAGTCATATTTTTTGCATACATTTTTATTTCTAATAAACACAGCTTACAGATATCTAATGCAACGGTTAAGAGGTGTTCAGGATGGTAACAATGAAAGAGCGTGAGGATAGCGCTCAACCCAGAAATAAGACAAACTTAAGGGCATTGAAGATTCAGAATGGATTCCATATGTCTTTAATTTTACTCAGTACGTTCTTAACAAATCGTGCTTTTGCAAAGCTGTACGTCTGGCTCATGCAAAAACTTAGCATTTGTGCTTTTTGATACCGTTTATCGGAGTGCGCATGCTTGTAATTTAATGTTGAAAATCTGGAAATATGGGTAAAGACAGCCTTTTATCCCGGAGAAAAGGCTTGGATACCAAGGCTACCCCATTTCCGTAAGCCAGAAACGGAGTCCCTTACCAGTTTTTAGTTATTAGCTCCTTTAACGCTTACACTTGTATTTTTAACTTTTGCGGTTAACGCTAATTTCTAAGTTGTTGACCCTCTACGGCTAACTGTTAACTCCATTGACACCCCCTCTCCATCATTGTATGACAGGTTGCCTACCGGCGATCAAAGAAAGACTATTTCCATCTCACAGAAATCGAGCACATATTGTCGAGGATATTTTTGAAGCCCTATGCGCAAGCATTTATCATGAAGTAAGATGGAAGGAGGCAGTCCTTAAAACCGAGGACAGATCACGTGACACCGGAGAGAAGGACATCTACATTGAACAATGCTACGTCTGTGGTATCCTTGGATACCATAAGTTCCTTTCACTTGATAGACTATCAACGTTTCTGCGATGGCAGCTGCCACTCGGTTGTTATGGTGAGAATGCAAGTGACCAAGGTGATATGCTCGAAGATTCTCATCAAGGACTGGTTGATAATATTCATAGCAGTGTTCTCTCCGCAGGCAGATCACGGCGGCAAACAAACCGCGATTTACCGGGTAATTTTTAAATTAAAAGCCTCTAGCGACAAACCATGACTAATCTACTCAATCAAGCATGAAAATTATCTTTTAGCTATTGACCGCTATTGTAGAGTGTATAGCGAACGAACTAATCGGCAAGGGTAAGCATCAGCGAAAGATCAACCACCGCCCGGTTAGCTAAGTTGTATGAACGGGAGCGGGAGGCGAGTGGTTCAAACCCCGGCTGAACCAACACTCAGGGTCTTTAAAATAAGTGAGGAATAAGTGCTCTCTTTGTAATAACATCTGCAAACGGTTAGACTTTCTAGTCTTCACAGAATAACACGAGAAACCGTAGGTCCTGTCTCACAAGCCTGGCACATGTAACAATTCTGTGGGACATTAAAGGAACCCACACACTAATCGTAAAGAGTAGTGGTTGTAGTTCCCGGCGTAGTGGTCTATCTTGATTTCACACTCACATAGGGGGCTCCACGTGGGGAGGGCGGTACTCCGGATTTCAAGTGACGGGGATGATCGAAGGGTTTTGGGGGCTTTAAAATTTTTGATTCCGGGGATTTGTTTGGGTAAGAAAATTTGGCAAGTATTTGTTCGGGTATATAAAACAATATGAAGATTTGTGATAACTTCATATGGTATGATGCTGAATAAACAAACACAACATTTGATTTCTAATGTTTCTATTTTTCATATTAGTTCATTTAGTGCTTTTTGAAAACTTTTATGGCTAGGAAATTTGGCATGGGATTGTTTTGGGGTTAATTTGTGGCGCGGGGATTTTTGGGGGTTTTGGTTTTTGCCCCATTCGATCATCCCCGTCACTTGAAACCCGGAGCATCCCCCCACCCTTGGGTAGGGGGCATCATTACTCATCCCTTCATTACTTGTAAACTGCACTGTAACCAATCTAGAAAAGTCCCCCAACCAGTGTTGTAGATTATTCCTGAAACGCCCTGAGGAGAGTGGAAAATAACATAACTTATTATGGGGGATTTAAAACACATGAAGAGGATGTATGTTGATGAGCAATTAATTACAAACGAGACGCGTACACCCATGCAAGCCAATGCGAGGGGCAGAAAAGTAATAGATTTAGACCGCGTTTACACGGACACATTTTTGAACGGGACAAATTGTTTACCTGTGCAATCCGTTAACAATGGACCGTGAAATAACAAGAGTCAAACGAAATGCAAATATGAAAGTGTATTAAATGGGTCTTAAATGTCCAGGAAATTAACATATCTTCATACACTGGCACAAGCTTTTTTGTTGCTCCTAAATTATTGTAACTAAAATGAACAAATGAAGCGATCCCTTATTATAACATAGAAGTTTTAGCATGCCTCTTCAATTAATGTTATTGCATGTTTTAATTCACGGGAAACGACAAAAGATGAGTCGAGTAAAAGCTGAAAAACAGCTAAAAACCTTTCTATTCTTCATAGTTTTAACATTTGACAAAACCACTTCACTACCCACGCATGTAAAAGACCAATTTGTATAATGTTTAAAATTTACACTCGACTCTGAGGCTTGGTGGGATAAAAGGCCTGAGTCAGGCCTGAGTCAGGCTATTTAATTTTTTTAACTCCCCCAAGCACTGAGGCCAAATATGAATCCTATTAAATCGAAATTACTCCTATTGATTATTTGAAAAACGCTAGAGTAAAAGTTAAAGAAAAGATAATTTAAAGGGAACATTGTCGAAACTTGAAAAAAAGAAAACTAATATAATTTACAGTGCCCGCATACCGTAAAATTCCGAAAATAAGCCCCGGGGCTTATATTTTTCAAAGGCCCTTTTTGAGGGGCTTATTTTTGAAGGGGCTCATATTCGGAGGGGCTTATCTATGAAGGGAAATTTGCGTTTCAAAACCGATTGGGCTAGCCTTATAGTTGGAAGTGAATTTACCGTTTTTGCTTTGTTTTACTTTGTATTTGAGGGCAATTTTCCAAGTACAAGCCCCCGGGGGGCTTATATTTGGAGGGGCTATTTAACGGAGGGCTTTTTGCGTTACCGGTTTGGGGGGATTATATTTGGAGGGGCTTGTACATGGAGGGGCTTATTTTCGGAATTTTACGGTATATCAGTGAAAAGTGTCCTTTTTCTACTGTCTCGTGTTTCGTTATCAGCCCGCTGTTTGACATTTCAACGTCATTTTTTTAAACTGATATTTGAAATAATGGATTATGTTGAAGCCGTGGCGATCGATAAGACTTCCACTTCTCTTAAAAGACCTAAATTTAAACCCATATTTTCAAAAGGTTTATTCCGTTAAGAATTCCTTGCTGCGCTAGGAAGAAACGATATTTTTAATAACTTACCTCCCTGTGAAAACGTCAGGCAAAAATATTCTTTGTTAACAATACGAGCAATTTTTTTGCCCCTCAATCATTTGCGTCAAAGTGAGCTAATGACGGATGTCTTAATTATAACATAGCGGTGGTATAAACACCTGATATTTAATGAACCGGCATGTATGTTTTTAAATGCTCAGAAAGTGTATTTACCATTCTTTCTTTAATTAATCTTAGTCTTTTTTTTCTGATATTTTCACGTGAGCACTGCGGAGCCACAAAAGGACATAATTTTACTTCTAAACTATTTCTCAGTTCTATGTTCCCCATCGCAACTTCTTTGTGAATTCGGTTAGTCGTTTTGAAAGAACGAAATGATAAATTAAAAAGGAGAACGCCACTCCTTTGCCATCTTAAGTCATTAACTTCAAACTCGCAACAGCCTTTCAATGAACCTGCTGAAAAAAGCAGATCGCAGAAGAATATATCCTTAGGATATCCTCTTCGTTTGTTTGTTTGTAGTTTAATTAAATTTGTTTAGGTTTTTTAATATAGCAACAAAAATCGTATCGTTCAATTTTCAAAGAGGACCTCCCAGTGAATTTACAGCTGAAAAACAAAGCGAGCTAACTTGATAAACAGAATAGTTACCTTTTACAGCTTGCCTTACTTCTATGGCCCCTGTCATAGCGTGTCTGGCGCTTAAATTACCTTCGCTCTCCTGAGAAACGTAAAAAAAATAACCCGTGTTATGCAGGCTAGGGAGATCTCAAACCCTTTTATCATTTTTTTGGACCAGCTTCCAGAAAAATCAGCGTGAGTAGAGTTGAAAGAATATCCCTTCCAAGATCTTGATAACCCCTCTCTCTGATTGGCCGCTTGGCAATCGGTCAAATCAAGTGGCCGATGCAGTAAGGGGAGGGGGGGGATCGGACTCAAAAAAAATTTTTTTGGCCCTTTGGGCCTCATTTTAGTCTAAAAATAAGGGGGGGCAGGCCCCCCAGGCCCCTCCCCTGGATCCGCCACTGAAATCTAACCGGGGACGCGGAAACGCATAAAACAAGAAAACAAAGATGTGATATTTGTTTGAAAGCCGTCAGTTTTGAACAGCTGTTACCCAGAAGGTAAGTTCTCATAATCTCCTCATGAAACTGAGACAATGCACTTTTACACGGCAAAGGTTCACTTTAGTTTCCATCTTTTCCCCATTCAATTTTGATTATTAGTGGTTAGAATTTCCAGCTCCGTAAACCGACAACTGAGTTAGCTAATAACGTTCTTTAGTAGATCCAAATCGCCGTCTTGGACTTAAGTCGAATTTAGTCATGTGTCAGTCCTTATTTCAACTCTCCAATTTCAGTCATTTCAATTCATATTAGCTATGGAGAAACACTTTTCTTATATCGCGTTGTTTTTAGAGGAAGAAATCAGCTGGCATATTTATTAAGTATGTACTGTATTGTCTTTTGAATGAGGGGTGTGGTTTTGTTTCTCAAGCGGCTAATTAGAAACTACAGTCAGTTAGTGCTCCTACCTTTGAGTGAAGTTTGACTAGAGGGTCTTAATGGCGTTTAACGTCAGCCGTCAAAAAAGCCGCTTATTTTTTACCGTCAACCGTCAAAAAGTCAGAGTAATATTAACCGTCAAAACGTTTCAGGGTATTTCAAATCTCACTATTTCGACGAAATTTTGGCTCCTGAAGAATCTCTACACTTGAAAAACCACGGGCCATGTTGTCAAAAACACACACACTCTCTCTTTCTCTCTCTCTGAACATTACAAGACCTTACAACTTAAAATATTTGCAAATTGTATTTGTGAATTCGAAAGACCAAGGGTACCTCCAAAACACAACAGTTAAATATTAATTTATTGGTTAATATTTACTTAAGCTCTTGAACTAAATTTTCTGTAGATAACCGTCAACGGTCAAAATCCCCTCAAAGATACCATCATGCACATTTAGTAAGACCCTCCACTATTCTTGCTTTGATTACTTCCATGACCGGTGCGTGGATAAAAATTTTCACGAAATAATTCTAGAATTTATCTAACTGAGTCTACATTGGATCTCTATCTTTTCCTTTCAAAATGAAACCTTTCGTTCTTTAATTTTTTTTCTTTTCTCGACAAGGCGGCAACGACCTGCTAAAGGACACAAAAGTATGGGGGTCACACGCAAGCCAAAAAATCGGTAATCCACGAATTTAAGCTAATGCGAAAAAAATAAATGAGCTTTATCACTATTGCTTAAGTTTCTTTTAAAAAGACGTGTTTCAACAGTTATCCTGTTTATTATTTTTTTTCTTACGAAGGATTTCTGATCAACTGATCATTTCCATTGACTTCTTCTTCCTGTTTCTGGCGTCGCCTCTTCGCCTCTGGCGCTTCTGGCGGGAACAATTCAAGCAAGGGTGGACTGGAACGGGTGATAATTTATTCGACGCGGCGACCGACGCGGCTCGATGCATTATATCAGTTTTTCTTGTTCTTCAATGGGTTTTCAATAGACCGTTTACTGATCAACAGATATTACAAAATTCCTTCTATTGTGTTAAAAGTGCAACGGACTTCGAGGGTGTTTAGCTTCACTGATCAAAGAAAAATATGCTCCTTAAACGGCCATCAGCTTTAGCACTTTGGCTCAGCTTCGTTGTGCTTTTGAGGCCAACGCTTTGCGACGATCACCCCGATCAAGAGAATGAGGTTTTGACACAACAAGTGTTTTCGGCTTTGAATAGAGCCATCGACTTCTACCGGAGAGACTTCAAAAGCATTAACTTGGATGGTATTTTTGGACTGAGAGTCGCTCAAGGTAAGAGATATCTTCTAGAATAATAGTGTCGTCTTCCGAGCTGAAACAGGATATCACTTGTTAAGTCTTGTTATGATACCAATGTATTACTGTATCTTCATCATATCATTCTGTTTGTACGACTAATCTAACAGAGTTGATCGTTGATTTTTCACACTGTTTGCTTTTGAGACAACGAAGCAGTTTAATTATATCGTCATTTATTTGAGAACGTTTGGAGGTTTCAAAGCTTAAGCGCTATTTTTATCGAAGTTTGGGAACGGTGATCATGAATCGATGACTTATCGTCTCTCTATCCCATTAGATTTATCTTACGTTTTTCATGTAATCTCATTAATAATTTCTTAGGTTATCACGAGGAAATTTAGCTAGATTTCGACCTATTTAAACGATTGTTTTCCGATAGTTCGTGCGTGAACATTGGGGCTTGAGTTAAGTTCAAAATTATCAATTATCTTTACATAATATTTTTTTAGGATGATGAAGTTCCTAACTTGAAGATAGACTCAAGTTTCTTGTACCATCTGATTTCACTTTGCTTATAAATTAAGTTACAGATTCTTATTTTTCGTATATAAATTGTGACCATTTTTGCCCTTCCCTTTCTCTTCCTCAAGTATAACACTTTGATTTTTGCTGAAGCCCTCTGTAATTTAATATATCCGCTGGGAATAAGCTGGTTGTTTTTTTTACTATGGCAGCCATAATAAAGTCCTTGAAAAAAATACTATATTAATTATAAATAAAATCTCATTTGTGGAAAACCTGTATATTATAGAGGTAAAGATTAAATTCAGGTTAGAATTTTTAACCTAGGTTGATTCTCAATTTCCTTTTTTTTCTAGCCCTAACTCATCAATAATTAGGGTCAGGAGAAAAAAGAAATTGAGATTCAACCTGGGTTAAAAAATTTCAACCTGAATTTAATTTTGACCTGTAGCATTTACATTAGGAAAGCTTAAGAGGAACATGTAGCAAAGGTTTAAACTTGTGTGATTCCTGTGTTTCGATAAATTTTGTAAAACCTATGAGTGTTGAGGAGGCAGAAAATGTTCCAGTGGAAGTGGGAAAATTGTCAGCTGCCAGCTCATCAGTTAAAACAGTTCCTGACACATCAGATTCCAGTTTTCATTTACTTGAGAGCCTGATCAGTTCTTGCTCTTGATATAATTTTTACAAGAGAAAGTGGTAGATGTACAAATGTAGTTCAATGCCGTTAAACAGAATTAAAGCTCCAATGTCATTTTTGTCTTCAAATTTTAGAATTTTTTTATATAATAATTTTATCATTATTCCTGTTTAGATTTCAAAAATCAGATGAAGGTATACCTGTATAAATGTAAAGTAAATAATATTTTTTTATTAGTAGTAGTTATGCAGGGTTCCCCAGAAGATGTAGAGTAGAGAGGGTAAAAATAAATTAGGTGGCAACAGATTAGATCAAAAGGAGCAGATGGACTTTCATGCAGCTTTTAAACTGCATCTGGGTTTACTAATTTGGATGGGTTTTCCCTATACCTCTGGTTTGTTTTTGAGTGTGTTTTGGGCAACCAGTTAACCCTTTAAGCCCCAGTATCCACATACAAATTCTCCAAACTGATCTCCATACATCTCCTTAAAGAGTTAGTTGAGAGAATTTGATGATCGATCAAGGCATTTTCTCTTGGGTGATCATTATTTTTATTAATTCTCATAACTTATCTCTTAACAGTGTATGGATATTGTTAGGAGAAAATTGATCTTGGTCACTATTGGGACTTAAAGGAAGGGTTAAAGAATTTTAGCTATGGTGGTGGCACTTTTATTTTACCTGTTTTTTTTTATGTGCTTTATTTTTTATCTACGTTTAATTTGTTTACATTAAAAGAGTGTTGAAAAACCAAATTTATGTGCCGCTGATTTATTCCTCTTATTAATAATTTATTTTTGTGTCAGTAGTTCACACTTCTATGGCAACTATATGGTGATTTTTGCCGACTGCCAGAGCTTCTGGATAACACTAGAGTTGTAGCTGATTAAAAAACAACAGAGCACATTGTATTGTGTCAATTATTGCCTGTCAGACTTTTAAAAATGCTTCAGTGTATTGTGAACTTTCGTTTAGCTGATCAAATACAGCTTTCACTCTGGTTCTGACATGTTGTTTATTCTTTGGTCTTATCTCTCATTTTTGTCAATCAGCAATACCATTTAATTCACCTCTGTGAAAGCAAAGAAAAAGTTCTTTTATGATTAAATGGAAATAGTTTGTTGCAGGTTAGACAACATTTTTTTCTGATTTTACTATCGCTTGGAGATGTTGTTTGTATTTTGTAGCCTTTTCATGCCCAAACTTTGGATGCTGATACTTTGCATCTGGTACAGTCTTCAAGGCTGCAAAGTGCTTGCGCTGTAAATGGCATTTTGGGCAGTTTTAGCAAGACAGCCAGTGACCAGAAAATGGCTTGACTACATATTCAGTTATTAGTTTAGAATTTTAAGTACAATTATCTTAGTTCTTAAAATTTTAAACTGAATAAAGATGTCTTTTGAAGTTAGTTAGTAGTTAGTAAATGCAGTAAAATAGTCAGGGTCGGCCAGGGTTTTTGGGTATACGGTATACACGGGCTTTTTAAATCGGGTATACGGTATATTGCAGCTTAAATACGGGTATTCGGGATATCACTGTCTTTGAATTTCAGGTATAAAGTATACCTACCTTTCATGCTTTGATTATTTTTGGTATATTTGGATGAATTTTGGGTATTTTGGCGAATTTTTTCGGGTATACTGGTATACCACTACCCCCCTGGCTGACCCTGAATAGTTATAAGCAGATGCACATTTTTTGTTATAGTATATATTATTAATTATAGGATGACCTTTATCGTATTGTAACATTGTCATTAGGTTTGAACAACATGTTCTACATTGTATGTAGCACATAATAGATGAAGTCTCATCAATACTATTTTTCCTTGCCTTTGCTTTTCAGGAGCTTTCCTTTCAATTATCAATGATGCAAGAGACAAGCAACTCTATTTAGATGATCATGTGGTGGATCAAGTAAAAACACTCTATAATAAAGCAGCTCTTGTTGCTCAAAATGCTTTGCCATATCTTCAGCGCTCTGAACCTGAATACTTTAGCAAATTTAGAAAACAAGTTTCGTATCCTTGGATAAACTTTAAGCCATTCACAAATAAAAAGCTTGTGAAGCGACAATTTAGTCGCCAAGGCAGAAGGAACCTAATCAGCTTTGATGAGAGCACAAGTGATCGCTGTATTAGTGAACTGACCGGTACTGGATCTAAAGGCAGCCAGCCTTGTCAAATATCAGATTCATGTTGGCGGTTGATAAGTGCTGAGGGGGCAGCAGAATACACTTTGACTCATCAAGCTTTGTATCTCCTGGTTGGTGAAATACAAGGTTGGTGCTTACAACTCTATTGTTGTAATTGTGCTTGTAAAAAGCCTCAAATATTTGTTTATTCTGTGTAAGTTGGGTTATTACCATAACACGGAGCAGATTGTTTGGGACACGTACATGTATTTAGTCATTTTAGATTGATTGCAAGTTGTGCATCAGGGTGTATGTTATAAACTTGAGCATATTTATTGACCAATTTGCATCACTTACAATGCCTCTTGGTTATGTGTCTACCATTGTTTTTCAACATACATATAGTTGTTCGAACGCCGGTTAGCACTAACCCAGGGTTAAATTTTAACCCGAATTTCTTTTTCTTTTTATCGAAAGCACTTAATTCTTGGATGATTTTCTCTATTTTTTCTTAGCATATCCAATCATCAAATATTATTGTAGGCAAAGAGAATTCAACTGAATTGGCTTTTTAAGCTCTCTTATCTGAGTTCAAAATTCACACTAACCCTGGGTTATCTTAACCCAGCTTCGAACAACCTGGCCCAGAACTTTATTGGGCTTTGCCACAGGTGGCTCATTAATAAGAGCAATCTTTCAAACCCGGATGAATGACAATTTTTACATGATTCATATGATATTATAAAATAACTGAGATAGTATGCGTGATCTGATTGGTCAAAAACCTATGGTTTATTATACCGGTAAACCCATAGAAAAAGGTATCCAGACCACGAGCCATAAACAAAACTGGCTATTGATCTGCAAACAATGATTTTAGAAAGGCTAAAAAAAAGAACAAGTTACTTACCCAGCCCTTCTTAATATCAAAAGCGTTGGTTTCCATATTTTATTACTGCCATAGCTTTAGATGTAATAAAGTACAAAGCTGGAAAGCAGTTTACATTTAACGACGATGCCAAATCGCAGAGAAAGACAACAACTGTGTGAATTTCTGGTGTAGAAAGTCTCCAGGAAAACTTAACCATGTGCCAACCAGCAACAAAACGGATAGTTTTAGGATTCTTGATTTATTTTATGTCAAAATGAAATTCCTTAATGAAAGAAATTGTTCCAAAAAGAGATCTCTGATCAAGATATTTGAAGATATGGTACAAAATCGGTTGCTGTAGGTTGTAAACAAGCTGCCAACGATGCATGAAAGATGTCAGAGTTTCGGCTGGTTTTTTCAAACATTTGCAAAAATTATTCGGTGATATCGATGCCATAACCTATCTCAAACCACCTGACTATGCAAATCGACAAATATTAACGCCAATATGTGGCCACGGCAAAGAAACCTTTCTCCACCACTGACATATTTCCATCGGTTGCTGTACGTGCATGTAAAGTTACATGCGACAACTTCGCAAATGCAGCCACGTCGTTACCGCAGCATTTCTTAATCATAATAAAGTCCAGAAAACAGATCTTAAACCACTGCGCCTTGTAAAATGTGAATGACATCCTCCATTACAATAGCTGCCAGTTCCGTCTGTAAGCACAAAATTCTTACGGATCGACTCAACAAAATACAGCTGCATACAGTCTGATGTTCAATTAATTTCTACTTCTGTAGTAAACAAACCATGAACGTATTCTTTCATTGTACGTTCGCATGAATAAATGTTGACTTTTCCTGTAAAACAGCTTTCATAAGTTATCATGTAATGAGTGCAAAAACTCGTGTTTTGAAGTGCTGCTGTTTGTTGTTTGACTGAACTGAGTTTTGAGAAAGTTCAGCGCTAATTAAATCGTGAGTCATGATTGGCTTATGATGACTTTAGAGAGAAGACATGACTAACGGTACATGATCACGGTACTGAAACCATTTTTTTACCTAAGAGACGCCATTCTACTAAAAGTTATTTTATAAAAGCAATAGACAGGGCTTCTGATATTTCGCGGAAAAAAAAGCAAAATTTCGCGGGATTTTCAGGGGCAAATTCACGGAAAAATCGGCTGATTTCGCGGGAAAAAAGTCAAAATTCGCGGAACGATCGGCCGATTTCAGGCGATTTTCGCGGGAGAAAAGTCAAAATTCGCAGAAAAATCGGCCCATTTCGCGGGATTTTAGCAGAAAAGAGTCAATTTTCGAAGGAATTTTCACGGGCAAATAATTTCCTAAGAATTTCTTAGGAAAATCGGCCGATTTCACGAGAAATTTCGGGGGAAAACTTCGCCAAGAAACAATCAGTAAAAAACAGCCGATTTCGCTGGTTTTTTTTTGGCAAATTTCGTTAAAATCGATCAATTTTGCGTCGATATGACCAGCGTTGGTAAACGTTTTTTTCAACACGGATAATCATTTTGCTCTTTCAACAACAGTTCGCTCGAGAAATGAGCGCATGTTAAAGCTGTCAACATTATGGTTATTGCCCACTGTTTTTCGCAACGTTTATCTAAAAACACCGGTAGTTTTGGGACGTTGTTTACTTGTTGCAGTGATGAAGTTTCAAGCTAAATTTGGACGTTTGGGGTTAATAAAACCGGTCTAATAGCCAAGATAAGTATTAAATATGTTTTGCCGACATGTATTTGGAAATATTTCTGGCGGATTTCGCGTTTTTACCTGAATTTCGCGGGTCCGCAACCGCGCGAAATATCAGAAGCCCTGAATAGACCACACTTTCAATGGGTTTACTGGCATGATAACCCACTTGGAATATTGGGAGAACACTCGAAAAGCTTGTAAATCACGAGCCGAAGGCGAGTGATTTACAAGCTTTTCTCGTGTTCTCCCAACATCCCGCGTGGGTTATCACGCCGGTAAACCCATAGAAAGTGTGGTCTATTGCTTAAGTATTTTTTTGAGTTGTCACTTTATAAGGATGCAAAATTTAATCATTGTACATGTAGATATGATTTATTAATGGGCCATAAGTTTTTTACAAAGACGTGCAAGACCTTTTGTTATCGATACTTGTTTGCAGGCTGTACTCCAATCTTGCTAAAACGCTTAGAACAATCTCATGTCAAGGGAGGACTTGAAGAATTTTACAATCGCATCTGCTCAGACATGTATCCTCAGATGACAGCTGTAGAAGAAAAGAGAACATTGGACAGGTATGCTTACAAAAGAGATTTATACATGGAGCAGGCGATGGTATGTGGATCAATTGGTTATCGAGATTTCTTGTCATCCAAGCGTTTAAGACACATTCTTACGTGGCAAAGAAAAGATGGCTGTTTTGGCACGAAAAAACAAACTTCTCAAAGTGATAGCAACGATGAAGAGACTGGTGTAAGTAATGCACAAAGTGACCTGAAACAGGACAATGATGAGGAAAGCATGGTTGAAGAGCACAACTCTCCATTTGGGGACTTTAGAAAAAGCCTTGGTTATGAACATAGCTCAAAAATTCTTAGGTAAGTTGTTTATTTAGTGAGGGACAGCCCTGGGGGGGGCGGGGTGGGGGTTTCTTACTTGAATTTACTATGTGGGTGTGCTGCTCAAGTAGAAAAAACAAACTTCTCAAAGTGATAGCAATGAAATAATGCTCGAAGTGACCTGTAATGGGGCAATGATGAGGAAAGCATGAAAGAAGAGTAGAACTCTCCAACTGGCGACTTTAAAGAAAAAGCCTTGAATACGAAATAGCTAAAAAATTATGGGTAAGTGGAAGATTTAATGAGGGGCAGCCACAGGGTTGGGAGCCTGTGGCTACTCCCTTAAATTTACCATTAGGGTGTGTTGCTGAGCCTTTGAGATCCTGGATCTGTTCCAGACAAAAAGTCATTAATTTGGAACCCCATTCCAGACAATAATGAAAAAGGAGCTACTAGCTAGACTGGGGAATGTAATTTCACACCTAAGTTCTATCCAGAATGATCAGGGATTATTAGGAAACAACTTGTGAGAAAATCATTTCTTGATCCCAGACCTCGTGTCTTCCTTTCCCTGGGTGTTCGTTTTTCTAAACAGACAACCAAAAATTGAAATTATGACTGGCCCTGCCACAGACAGCCCAGTAAAAAATCATCCCTTAGCCGTGGAATCAAGAAGGTAAATATAGGAACCCCACTTCCGGAGATGAAGGGTAGTATTTTTACCCTCTTCCGGAGTCACAGAAGCAAAAAGCATACCCTCCTGTTGAGCAGCACATACATTGTAGCAGTAATTTTTTAACCCAAAAATGGGAACTCTCATAGGGGCAGCATGGTGAAAAAGTCTGAGTGTTGGACTTGCAATCAGGCAGGTCTGTTTAGAAAAGATTAACTGCCAAGGATAAAAATAATTGGTAAATTTTATTTTTATTTGTCTTAATTTATTAACAATCATAAATGGAAATACAGGAGGCAGCATAGCCGAGTGATCAGCGCAATGGCCTCACAGTCCCGCGGTCCCGGGTTCGAGGCAGTCTCTGGGAACTTGCTGGATTTTTTCTTGGTCGTCGCGAGTTCAAATCCTCGGGCAGTCGGCCATGCTAGTAAATGACCAACTGGTTGCCTCCTGCCAGTTGGGGTTTTTAATCCTGTTCTGTTAGATTTGAACTATTGTTTGTAAGTAGCTGGATAAGCTTAGTGCACTTCCTACTTTAAACCTTTTTTTAAACCCCGGGTTGTCATTAAGAGCCGGGGGCCAGGGATTTTCCCCGGCTACTAAGAGAGTGGCCCCCGGCTACTTTTATTGGAAAATAGAAGAAAAATAGAACCAAAAGAAATCCCTAGCCGTTTGATTCCCTGCCTACTTGTTGTATTTACCCGGCAACTTGAAATCTTAGTGACAACCCTGTAAACCTGTAAACAGAATGTCAATAACAGCTAGTGGCAGATCATTCTCATGTCTTTGGGCTCTTGTTGAAAAATGGCAACATCTGGGATTGACCTAGGAAAATTAAGTGTTGTGAATTTTGATCTCTTTTTGGAAGAGGATCTTTTAAACTGTTTCAGCCCCAAAATCAACATTCAAATTCTCCAGACTGGTCTCCATCCCTTTTGTAAAGTTGAGAGAATCTGAGAAATGATCAAAGCATGTTCCCTATGGTGATCATTTTTTTTATTGTCAATCACTTCCACCATTTATGGTGCAGAACCCAATATATTTTTTAGTGTGTCCAGCTTGCAGATTAAACACACCCAGCCCAGGAGAGGTTGGCCACAACACCAGGGTCTATGTCCTCTACACTTTTCGAACAGTGGTGTGTGGGTTCTTTTACATCCCATAAGGTTACCAGATAAGTGAAAGTGCTGTTAGAAGGGACGTACGGTTTTTCGTTCCTTATCCAAGAAGACTAGAAAGTCTAACCATTTGCAGATGTCATTGCAAAGGCAGCCCTTTCTCCTCGGTTATTTTAAAGACCCTGAGTGTTGATCGGACCAGCATTACTCGCGACCTCCAGCTCAGCAGACTAGCACAGGCACTGTCCCAACTGAGCTAACCAGGTGGCAGTGATATAACCTTAAAAGTATAAACATGTATCTCATCAGGGTTCTCAATAGATTTTTAAGTAGGAGGTGATCACTGATAAAGTAGGAGGCTCTTCAGCAAAGCCAGAGGTGTCAAAACAAAGCAAAGAAAAGCGACCTAAACACAAAGTAAGCGGCTATAAATCCCAAAGTAAGCGGCGATCAATCGCCGGGTGCCGCCTTCTATTGAGAACCCTGATCTCATATTATTGTTCATTCAAAATATTTTGATTTCTGATTGGCTCCAATCCCCTTGCTAATTCTTCATATTAACCAACTGGCACAAAATACCATAATTGAAAGATGCAAGCAATACACTGATTGATTCAGTGGTATATTTGATTGGAAACAAAGCTATTTTTACAAAAGTTAACTAAAAAATGGCATTCACAGTTAGCTGAAGACAAAAATTATTAATAGCTGAATTTCTGACTAAAAATGAACAACAGAAAGGCAAGAAGACACAAAACATATTGCTTGATGGGGCAGTGTTTTCTACTTTTTGAGGAGTATCTGCGAGAAAAAACATCTGTTTATATTGTGAAACCGTGCCAAGAAGCAGGCCAAAGTTTTGAAGAAGGTCCGCGAGGAGGTGAGCTTGTTATTAATAAGAACTTGGAAATACTTTGAATGAATAATAAAACAATACTATTGTTGAATTCGGCTTTCATGTGATGTGAATAATTATGCTGATCTTTGAGACTTTGGCCTCAGTGTATAAGATCCTCCTTGGTCTGCATATTAATTCTTCACTTCATACATGGCCTCATTCAATATTATTGTTAAAGAGTAGAAACTGCAAATTTCATTGATGTAAATGTGCTAAGCTTCAGGTTTTATTCTTCACTGTTTAGGAAGCCACTGAGTATGCGAACCATGCGATCCCTATTGGTTGAAGAGGAACTTGATGGTATGCAACTATAAATAACTGTCCAGTCCAGTTTTTATTACTGAAGAATAAGCTAGATTCATGTACTTCTCTTGGGATTTCTGGCGATCTCTTCTTCCAGGGCCCAGGGAAACATCTTAAAATGTTCTTTATTCTAGCAGAAAGTCAGCAGGAAATCCTGCAATTTCATGATTAATCAGAGTGTTATTACATGATCCCTCCTCAAAAACAAGGTTAATTACATACTATTTGTTAACCAAGAGTAAGGTCATTACAGGGAAATCTCAGACCGAGGCCTTGATGTATTGACTGAGTGATAGCGAGGTCAATACATCAAGTCGAGGTCTGAGATTTCCCTGTAATTACTGAACGGATGAGGTTAACAAGTTATTTATTATGTGACCTTTTCATTATGGATCTGAGCCTGTGATCAGTTAAAACCCACTACTGGTCAGCAGATAACTTTAAAAAAATATGTCACCTCAATGAGTTGTACACCTGATCCCGCGGTACAGTCAGATGACACTGGTCAGCGGATATCCTTTTTGACAGCTGTCAGTTGACCATAACATGGATGTCCATATTAAAGGATGTCCACTGTCAAGTTAAACACAGATTGTTTATGCCTTGGACACCCAGCTAGTAATGCCTGGTCATTACAAGAAATAATGCACGGTCATTACAAGAAAACAGCCAATGAAAGCATGTGCACTGTTGTAACCATATGATAATGCATTTTGATCAATATAATAATTTGAATTGGGCAGACTGGGAATTGGTGTTGCTGGTAATATTAATGGTATTTTTCACGAAAGACACCAGACACGTAGAACGCAAGACAATAGTGTGTAATACTACAAAAAAGTGTGTCCAGCACGTAAAACTTAAATTGTTTGTCAGCAAGAGCAAATCATACTATATCCCCATAGCTAAGAAAATTTGGTTATCCATTTATTGCAGTAATTTTGGTGGTCATGTGACCGTACGCACACCCATCTGTCCATCCAACTATACCAAAGGAATGCCATTAAGAAATGTGACACTTTCTAGCTAGTGTGGGGACCTGCAACCAGGTATTGCACATCCACATTGTCGTCAATTATCAACAGCTGTCAAAATTGGCATCTGCTGACCAGCATCACATGACCGTACACTGCTCAGCTGTTGACCCATTATTAAAGTTATCATTTTTTTTGTGACTCTCCTCTGACAAGGTACATATACAGCTGTAATTGTTTTCAACTGATCACAGGCTCAACTCCAAGTGGATTTCTTTGCAATGGTTACAAGTTTTTAATTGTTTGAAGTAAATTATAAATTTATTAACAGGAGCTTTGCCTTTAGCCTTGGTTTTGGGGAGCAAGGGATGGTGCAGTTGTGAGAGGACACGCCTCCCACCAATGTGGCCCAGGTTCAAATCCCGGCTTCGACACCATATGTGGGTTGAGATTGTTGTTGGTTTCCTCCCTTGCTCCGAGAGGTTTTTCTCGGGATACTCCGGTTTTCCCCTGCCTTTAAAACCCAACATTTCCAAATTCCAATTTGACCAGGAATCAGGTAGATGAAGAACCACTTTGTGGATATGCTACCTCCAAATCATTATATATATGATTATTTATTTATATTATGTTTTTACATGTTTGCAGATGGCTGTCTGTCCCATCTTACTGGTGTAGCAGCTGGTCTACTGGGTGTATACTTGCGCTGGCTGCTGTATCCTCATGAAAAACAACTCAACAATCAGGTTAAAATGGAGATGAAACAGTACCAAGATCCCCAACAGATCAGCAAAGAGATCTACAATAGTGACAACAACATCGCCGACATTATTGCCATAAAAGAAAGGCAGTTACAAAAATCAAATCAAATGCCATCTGAGCACCTTCAGAAAATGAGAAAGGCGGCCATGATAGAGAACAGCGAGCACCAGTTGTTAAGTGGCGGCAGGGAGGGGTCAGCATTTTTGCCCTGGAGTGTCGTCTGGCTTGGAAGCACTGTTCTCGTTTTATCAGGGATATTAATTAAGGTTTTTAAAGGAACGTTGAAAAATGTATTAATTAGAACAGTGGTTCCAGGAAAAAAAAGTAAATATGTTATTTAGAATTTTCATGTCAGATAAGCTGAGTATTTTACTTAGCACAAAAAGAAGGATTAACTCTTAATACCTCTTTTTATAGCTTTGGAAGTAGCTTTTTTATTATTTATCTGTTACGCTCAGTTTTATCAATAATTTGTATCATGTTTTTAACGGTAGGTAAGTTAATAATGGGTAGGAAATTTAAAAACATAATATATTTCGAAAACAAACTTGCTTTTGTTTTAGAGCAAGAGGGACTGATTGTTTGTTTGTTTCATTCATCTATTGTTTTGTTACCCAGCATAACATTTTTCATCTGGAAGCTTTATGGCGCCTCTGGGGGAAAGTTAGGCACGATTTCCGCCGTCTCCCGGGTCTGGTCGGGGGGATGAGTGCGGGCTCATTTTTCCGAACAGCGGCTGATTTTCGAGCCCAGGCGAAAGTATGACTCCCATAAATTTCAGATAAAAAAAGTTGAGGTATAATAGATGATTTTTTTCTCGTGTACCTGGGTATTAACGGACTTGAAATTTAGCTCATATAATAAAGGTATCCTATCTATGGATCACACCGGAAACAGAACGCCGACAAGAGAAATGTGATAGCCTATTTACGGTTTGAGACCCTCAAACATGTCAAAAACCGTACTCTATTGGGCGGCACATACCGATCTAGCCCATATATGGGACTACCTTTTCCTCCCCCTCCCCCGCGGTTTCCCCAAATTATTTCTTTTTATTTCTTTCTTTTTTTTTTTATTCCTCGGGCTCTGAGTCAA